TCTCAGTGTTCCCCAAATGCACCAGGCCCTTAAGGTCCTTGCACAGTCTTTTCCTCAATCAGAAATGGCTTTGCCTCCTTCACAGGCTGCAGTTAACAGTCCAGACTCTAAAACAAAAATACCTGGTTTCAAAGTCCAGCTCTGTTTAAACTTGGTAGTTTCTCAGTTGCTCTGTGCCTCGATTTTGTCATCTGTAGCATATGGGTAATTGTCATAGTACCCTAGAATGCTGTTGTAAGGATTAAATGCTTCATATTTGTGAAGCGCTTTCAACAGCATCCAGAATGTGGCAAACGACAGCCCTTAAGTGCTAGTTGTTGCCATTGCCTGTTGATGCAACCAATTCTCATTCTTCAAGACTCAAACACCACTTTCTCAAATTTCATGAATATATCATTCCCATTTCTTCTTATTTTCAGTTTACTATGCATATGTTTGAAGGCAATTGTTAGCGCTCATTTTCAGGAATAATCTTTACAGCCTTGGTCTTGGAGCAAAACTTCAGGCTGAAAACTCAGAGTTCTTCAACCCTTTGTTACTTCCTCCACATGCTGCACAGACGGGGCTTCCCTATCCCTCAGGTGAAGACTATGGGGGTGTCCTCTGCATCCGCAGAGGCAGTGGAAGTGTGGCTGTCCCAAGGGCAACCTGCAGTATTAAATTGGGTTAAGGATCCTCAAGAGCAAGGGCCCACTAAGAATGAATTTCCTTCCGCCTTCTCCATTTTTCCAAGCCTCTCCCATTCACTGTTTCCAACTGCAGAAGAGCAAGGGGTTGCACAGTGAACAAAACTGCCAATATTTTAAAGGTATTAATGGAGAAACTGGCTCTTCCTGGCTTGCTGCTTCCCTGAAATGTGACTGTTGGCATGTCACTTCGTCTCTTGGGGCTTTGGTCTCCTCAACTGCCCAAAGTCTGGATGTGTCGCCAGAGCTCTAAGTTCACTCCTGTTCTGGTTTCCAGAATAGGCCAAGTCTGTGACTCTAGGGGACCTTTACCTCAAGGCAATTCAGAAAGCAGTCACATTCTGCAAATAATGACAGCCACAAAACTCTTCACGCTTCATGTTTCTGGTCACCACATGGGATTAGAAGACGTTTCAATTGGGAAAATTGCAATAAGTTCTTGTGAAGCTCTTATTGCTCTACTATTCATTCATTCAAAAGATATATTTATTGAGAGCATGCCACGAGCCGGGTGCTAGGGATGCCGTAGTAAAACAAACTGAACACCTGCTCTGATGGCATTTGTATTTTAGTTGGGGAAATGAATCATAAACAACATTGATCAGTAAAATTTGAAATAATTTCTTCTCTAAAAAGAAAAAAGTAGGCCGGGCATGGTGGCTTATGCCTGTAATCCCAGAATTTTGGGAGACTGAGGCTGACAGATCACTTGAGGTCAGGAGTTCAAGACCAGCCTGGGCAACATGGTAAAACCCTATCTCTACTAAAAATACAAAAGTTAGCCAGGCGTGGTGCCTGTAATCCCAGCTACTCAGGAGGCTGAGGTAGGAGAATCGCTTGAACCTGGGAGGTAGAGGCTGCAGTGAGCCAAGATGGCACCACTGCACTCCAGGCTGGGTGATGGAGTGAGACCCTGTCTCAAAAAAAAAAAAAAAAAGAAAGAAAAAGAAAAGACAAAAGAAAAAAGTAAAGTAAGGAAGGGGCATATGAAACGTTGAAAAGGGTAATTACCACCAGGAAAAGCATCATCACATTCCTCATCAATTTTTGCCCTGAAAAGTAAACATAATAGTATACAGCCGATGAATGTGGTACAAAAACCAATTGTTTGTCTAATAAGTGTCCATAAACACACACACACCCACACACACACACACACAGTTGTGAACAGATGCTGACAAGAAGACCAGGAGCTGTAAAAATAGCAAGTACTTTCTGCTAGCTAAAAATGGTGATCATAAGGAAATAGAGTTAAGTTTCACAGAGCCTCCACTATTGGTAAAGTTGGTGGATTACAGTGTGTGTCTGTGTGTGTGTGCCCATGTTTGTGCATCCACACATATGTACATGGTAGAGAGAGAGAGAGAGAGAGAGGATACATAGGTATTGCTCTCTTCCACTGAAGAAATTCTCCACAAAGTTTGCAGGAAGATGTAATTGTATTCGCAGCAATACAATTAGAAGTATTATTAACTGCTTTAATTTTTGTCTTGATTGAGGTTTCAGCTGATTCAAAAATCTTTAAGCATGGGTGAGATGTGAATGATCAGTACTAGCCAGATCAGAAGATTTAAATGATTGTTCACAGTAATCATCTCTAGTGACTTTACAAAACACGGACATGAACATTCACTCTATGGTTTTGTAAGAAGCCTTGTCCCGGCATCTCCTTGAGTGAGATAAGCCCACATGCAGCCATCATCTACGCAAGCCAGGGCTGAGGTGTGTGCACGGGCAAGGATTTAGAAATGGAAAGTTGGACTTTCTGCAAGGTGAGCAAAAATTCATGTAGAAAGCTTTTGGAGAAAAAGCAGCTCGGTCAATATGAACTATAAAAACTGAATACCAGGATACACTCTGCAGCAAATCAAAAACTGTAATAGTTTATTCCACCCATAGTCAGACGGTTATTTTCTTCTATGCATCAGAGAGTAGGTCTCTCCTCCTCACCCCCTGCAAACTGAAAAGATGAAATGAGATATTTTCACATGATGATGTATTGCTGGCAGTTTTCTTTATTGTAAGATCCTGCATCAACTATAGTCTCATTGAATTTGCGTAATAGAGGAATTTCTTTTTAGATTGCCAATGTATCATAATATTCAGGTAAATCCAGTAAGGTTCATGGTGTACCTGACAGAAAACGTTATCAGTTGCCTGCCGCTGTAAAATTTCACCTAACTTACCCTCACAATTCTCTTTCCAGGATAATCAAGACATATACAAAAGGGTGAGTATCGCCCAGCCCAGCACAAGGGCATGCAGCTTCCATGTTTAGAGCAAGTGACACTCAATACTAATATCACTTTCTTTTCTTATTTAGTTTTTGTTTCACTACTCCAGAACTCAGGAGGTAACACATCCAGTTAAAAGTGAGGTCAGTATTTTATCATAATCCTCTGTCTGTAAGAGTGGCTCTCCCCTGCATGTCGTCCGTCCCTTCTTAATATGTGCAGGCAAGTAGAAAAGCTGGGGCCTCTGGACATCCTCTGCATAGTAGCTTCCCAGGGGCTTTTCCCTGGGACTGCAGGGATTCCCTTTCTCCCTCTGGGGTGGGGGGTGGTAGGTGGCCAACTTATCTGAGAAGGCAGAGAATAAATTATAGAAAAGGAAAAATAAGTAGGAAATAACTTTTTAGTATGCACTTAAACAGAGGTACAGGAAGAGCCTGGTAAACACTGTGTTCTGTTTATATTGTTTGTTCTTACCATCTGTTTTTAAATTTGTGCTTTGTGATGTGTGTGATACCATCCCCCAGTAGTGATACATGGATGAACATCTTCCATGGCTGTCGTGATGTGTATGTGCAATGGGAATAGTAACCATCACCTCTAACTTTCTTCCTACAGATTTGAGTTACCCTTGGGAGCAGCTTGTGTAGGTGAATTTCTATGGGGTATGATTTGAGGAATATTGGAGAAGCCATAGAATATATATATGTGTGTGTGTGTGTATGTGTATAGATATAGATATAGATATAGATACAGATATAGATATAGATATAGATATATTTGAGACAGAGTCTTGCTCTGTCACCCAGGCTGGAGTGCAGTGGTGCAATCTCAGGTTACTGTAACCTCCACCTCTAGGGTTCAAGCGATTCTCCTGTCTCAGCCTCCCAAGTAGCTGGGATTACAGGCATGCACCACCATGCCTGGCTAATGTTTGTATTTTTAGTAGAGACGGGGTTTCACCATGTTGGCCAGGCTGGTCTCAAACTCCTGACCTCAGGTGATTCGCCCGCCTCAGCCTCCCAAAGTGCTGGGATTACAGGGGTGAGCCACCATGCCCAGCCAGAATATAACTTTTAAACCCAGTCATAGCAAGTAAAACTCTACCACTAGAAAGTCTCTTACTTATATATTCAAGGCTCTCCACGTCTTAAAAGGATCCTTAAAAAAGCAAATAACCAGGAAAAAAATGTTTCCCCTAAGAATCAGTATTACAGATGTAGGAATAGGGCTCAGGTAAGGAGGGGGATTTTTTTTAGATGGAGTTTCGCTCCTGTTGCCCAGGCTGCAGTGCAGTGACATGATCTCGGCTCACTGCAACCTCTACCTCCCGGCTTCAAGCCATGATCTCTTGCCTTAGCCTCCCAAGTAGCTGGGACTACAAGCACGCGCCACCACGTCTGGCTAATTTTGTATTTTTAGTAAAGATGGGGTTTCACCATGTTGGCCAGGTTGGTCTCAAACTCCTGACCTCAGGTGATCCACCCACCTTGGCCTCCCAAAGTGCTTGGCCTCCCACTGCACCCGGCCAAGGAGGTGGATATTATCAAAACCAACAAGGGCACCACGAAAGGAGGAAGAACAATGGAAAGGAAAAAAAAAAAAAAAAACTGTAACACGAATCAAGTTTTACTCTAAACCAAAGCACACAGGGAGGATTCATGAGGACTAGATGAGGACAGGTGTGTACACCTGGGTGTGCACGGCAGTCACAGACAAGATCAGGAAACCAGAAGTACCTGGGGAGGGTTACAGGGGCTGCCCTCCACCTTTTCTCTTGGATGAGGAGGGCACCCCTGGGGAGGGAGTAAGAATACATGTGGAGTTGCTTCTAGGACAAGGCGCTCCTCTCCAGGAGCACAGAGTGCTGAGGGTTAATGCAGAGAAAAGTCCGATTTACCTTAAGGGAATATTTTTAAGGGTTGTGTTGGAATTGAAACCTGTTCTCAAGGCAAGCGGCTCTTTATTGAAACCATAAAATTCCAGGCTTCCGCTCGAAAATGGATTTTACTCTGAAAATTAAACCCATTTGTAAGGGAAGTGAGGAGAAAGGAATGCGCATCGCCCTGGGCTCTCAAAATACCCCTCTGTGGATGTCCCCCGTCTGACCCTCTCCGCGTCTCTCTGTTGCAGTTTCCTCCAGTGCATCCTCTTATGCATCTGGCTGCCAAGCTCGCCAACAGACGGATGAAGAGATTTCTGCAGCGAGTACGTGCTTTTATTCTTCCACCATAGTTTTATGCCACTCACAGTTCCCTGAATTGTGGTAAAAGTATGCTGTCACCTTGGGGCTTGCTGTCCTTCTCTCCTCAAATCTCAATCTCCACCTTGGCAGGGAGTGCTGAGCAGAACTGCTGATCCTTTGACCTCCCTGGGCCTCAGTTTCCTCCACTGAAACCCCATGAGGTGGCTTGAAGGACCCGGGGAGAGATCCCATGGCCCATCCCGCTTCCATCCCTCTCCTCTTCGGCTCCTTTCATCCCGAAGTTGTGTCTCGGTTTTGTACTTTTTTTCAGTTCCCCTGTCTCTTTCCCCTGACACGAAACTTGCCCTGGGGATATCTTCTGCTTCCCATGGCCCTACCTGCCCATTGTCCATTTCTCAGAGCTTTCTTCTTTAGTTTTTATTTTTTAATTTAGAAATTACCAGCTGAACCTGTTCAATGGTAATCAAAGTTTTGTTTCATGGTAGCAAAAATAAATAAACAAATAGCAAGAGAGAAAATTTATGTTGAACACCCTGCCCAGATGGGGCGATCAGCTCATCCCAGTTTGCCCAGGACTTTCCTAGTTTTAGCTCTGAAAATCCCAGGGCCCCAAGTGCCTGGAAAACTGGTTGGCCATCCTGGGCACCAGCAGCAGTTTGTCTGACCCCCTGCTAACCGCAAGCCTCCAGGTCCAGTCTGATTCCATTCTTACACCAGGTTCACAGGCAATGAACAAGCTGAAGAAGCCAAAATGGCTAATCCTTTAAAAGTGTGCTAAGCTTTGCAATGTGCCCGTTTCAAAGTTGGCGCTGTTAGGAAGAGCAAGCAAACTTAACGTACTTGGACACAGATGGTAACTCAGCCAAGACGACAAGCTTGCCTTCCTGAGCAGGAGCTTGCTAGAGAAGATCACAGCAGTGATCCCACCATTTGCCATGCTCTCCACCTCCTCTTTTGCGCCAGACTTCTGACTACCTTAGAAGGAAGCCAGGGACGGCAGGATCACTGCAAGACCACTGCAAGGTCATGATGTGGTTCCTGTTGAATTTACCCATGCCTCATTTCCTTGCAGGGTTCGGGGACTGCTGCAGTGGACTTCACCAGGAAGGTACACAAGAGCCTTGGAGACTGTAACCCCCAAAGAAAGCCCTACCTGAGAAGGGTGGGGAAGTCCTTGGAGCCAGCCACCCTGCAGCCCCTCCAGACCACTTCTGGGCAGAGCTAGTCTCAAAAGGACCCTGAGAATCTTTTGTGGCTGAGCAATTAAGTTCAGGTCTCCCTGGGGGCAGACAGGAACATGGGGCAATGCCTCTGGCTGTTCAGATTTCACCTCCAGCCCCACAGATGAGTCATGTGGAGCCAGCTGCTCCTGAGGTCTTGCTTTCTCTCGCTCAGGAGCCCACATGCCATTGTACAGACTCCAACAGAGGCACTGCCAGAGCACAAACCCCAAACACTGGGGGTTCTCAAACGTGGCCATGCATCAGAGTCACCTGGCTAAAATTCAGATTGCCCCCAAAGATTCAGTGGGTCTGGATTGGGGCAAAGAGTTTGTGTTTCTTACAAGTTCCCAGAGGTTGTTGGTGCCACTGGTCTGGGACCACCCTTTTTTGAAAACTGTTCCTATAGACATTTTTTGAAGAACTTGGAATGCAACATGGTTGCATAATGGCTTATGTTTTTATGTTGCAGGATCACGCTGCCAACTGGGGACGACCCTTTTTCCTTTTCAGGGTATAGCATGTTTTCTCACTTTTGCTTTCTCACCTCGATTCACTGCAGCCATCCCAATCATGGAGTGACTGCAAACAGCAGAGCCAGGACCCCTTGGTGAACTGGTGGATAATTATGGGGACTCTCTCACCCTTCACTGGGTATCACTCCAATCAAAATCTCCTCCTACAAGCTTGTAAAGGCAAGGGTCCAACAGGAGAGAGGCTGAGAGCACCAGAGTAGGCGTAAGGGAGTTCTGATGACAGACAGACACAGGCTAGACCAGAATCTGAGCCTATGTTTTAGAGCGTTAGGGTCCAGCATTCATGGCCCCAAAAACACATGGCAGGAGGAGCTTAGGCACCATCCTCTCCTCCTTCCTGGGTAACAGAAACTCTTGCAAGGGTCACAGGGTCAGAGTTATCTTTTAGATTTTAATCGGTCATTCACTGGCTGTGCTCCACCCTTGAGATTCTCAGTATCTGCATAGAAAAATGAGCAAATCAGACTAGATCCATGCCCCCAGAAACTGCATTCTGTGAATCACTGGCGCCAAAAGGTACTCTGCAAAAGTCAGAAAAGATTGGAAAACACTGCACCCGACATTCACAAAGACTCACAATACACACTGGCCCATCGCAGGCTGTAGGAAGTCCTGCAGAACACAATCTGTGTCTCTTGGCTTAAGCATTTGTTTCCCGAACATAGGGACTGTGGAGCTGTTTCCCACCCCTGTCTCACTCCCATGGGTCTGTAGGACCTACTCGTTTCCTGGAAAGTGCTTTGAGAACAGTCCATCTCCATGACGTCTCCAGACTGGGCAGTCCTGTGCTGGATGGTTTGTGGAACCTCCCACCACATAAGCAAAGGCTAAAGGGTGGGATGATGAGTAAGTGACAGTGTTGGGATCCTAGGAGCAGTGAGGTTCCTGGAGCACTGTCCCAGAGGACCTCCAGACTGGTGCTAGCCTAGGGCAAGAGCTTCCCAGGTGAGTCCCCATGGAAGGCAGTGAAATCCCTGTTAGAAGAATGAGGCCTTAGGGTTCAATAGAGAGAAGAGCCAAATCAAGATAAGGCTGCAGAAAGTTGTGTCTCAGTATCCATAAGTTGCTCCTTTTTTTCCAGCCCAGGAATGGAAGAAACACTGAAGATGAGGCCCAGTAGGTAGTCCAAGGTCAGCTTCATCACAGTTTTTCTCTTTCAAGCAAATTTTATGTGTCTGACTGGAGAGAGTGAGAGGCAGTCATAGGGGGGACCATTGTTTAAGAAAGGAGCACCCTACATAACCCCCAAGGACTCTGCCCCTTCCCTTTTCCTGCACACAGGACCACAGAGATCCCCACCCCAGCCTAGCAGATGCAGACTGTCTGGGCAATACTGTAGCCTTCACTTCCATGCCCAGCTCTTCGGAGGCATGTGGTCTCCAGCTGTCACTGTGATGGGGATGTAGGCTCATTGCAGCCCAGCTGGACCCTCCGTGACTTCTCACCTGGCCCCCTTGATAAGGAAACACCACCCTGTCATGCTTGGGTGGTGCACCAAGGAGTTCTGGAAGCTACCAGGCTCCCTACACTGAGAGCATTTCTAAGTATGGCCAGGCAACGCTGTTTCCCCCTTCCAATGGTGCTCTGAGATCCAGAGTTTTAATTTGGAGTGACTCCTTGGCCTCCAGCCCTGTGGAAGAGGAAGTGAATGCTCAAGGGCAGGTCCGGGCCTCCTCTGTCTCTCATGAGGATGTGGTCCCAAGGATATGAGGCCGCTGTCCTATGGATGCTGCCAGCAGGGGCCAGCGGTCAGGGTCCCAGCAGTCCAAGGTGTCTGAGAAAGCTGTTGCCCTGCTGGGAAATGGCACTACCCAGCAAACACAAGGCGAAGATGTTCCCTGAGGCCATAGTGCTTACACCAACCTAATGGCCTGATGAGATAAGCAAAAACAAATCTTATAAGTACTGATTGTGGGAAAAGCAACCTGGGCCTTTATGACATGTCAAACTGAGGTCTAATTGTGAAATATGTTACATAATAACCTGCCCATGGGCTTTGTCTTGATTCTGAGAATGATTTCATCTGAGCGGTACATTTTTCTTTTCTTTTTTAGGATTCAGTGGTGAAAGAAAGCTGGATCTGATGAGGCCATCCAGGGATTATGTTGAATAAATATCAAATTTCTTTCCACGAACAGTATTTAAAGATATTTCTCTTGCTCTATATTCACTAGATATTCAGCTTCATAAAAGTAAAGTAGCATTGTGTGATATTGTGAAATATATGTTTGGTCTTTGTCCATATTTCTTGACATACAAGTTCTAAAATTCTTGAAAATTTCAAAACGTTCAGTGTCTCTTTGTATACTGATGATTGGCAGTGGCTGGCAGCCTCTAGGTAGCTTTGGGGTGGGGCTGGTCACCAGGAAGACCAAGGCAGGACTAGAGTATTGGGACTTTCAGGCCAACTCCAGTCTCCAGGGAGAAGAGGCACTGAAAGTTGAGTTGGTCACCAGTGGCCAATGTTTTAATCAGTCGTGCCTATTGTGAAATTAAACAATTCAGACTTAAGGCTACTGGAACGTTAACTGATTTGAGCCTTGAGAGAGATGTGACTGTGTGGCCTCAGTCGTGTAACATGCACCTGCCACTATGGCTTCTCCAACTATAAATGAACTCTCTTCCTTATTTTTTGTTCTGTAATCTGTAAAATGACTAAGAAAGAATGAATGGCACCAGAGATAAGACCCCTCCGCTCTTAATTACTGACCTTTGTTAGATATTAACTTCTTCCTTTATTGCCTTGCACTCAACTCAGACCAGATGACACAGAAGACCCCATGACTATTACACCCACAATGTGGAATGTTAAATACCCATCCCGAAAAAGAACACAGCCTATAACCCGTCCAGTTGCCTTAACTATGCAATAACCTTGTACGGACAGTGTTAAAATCCTACTGAACTTCCTGAAACCTTGCCGATATCAACGACCCTGAAACCTCTCCACTTCAGAATGCTGATTCTATTAGCTTGGTGTTGGCATTTCCAGGTGGCTATTCTCAAGCTTTGAGCTCAAACAGATTAAACTCTGTATTTAATCATATTTTCTGAATCTCATTATTTAAGGAGGACACTATGTAACCCTAAGCTTCCATAAAAACCCAAAAGGACAGGGTTTTAGATGGCTTTTAGATGGCTGGACACATGGAGGTTGCTGGAGGGTGGTATTTCTTCATCTGTATCCTTAGTAATACCTTTTATAATAAACTAGTAAATGTGTTTCCCTGAGTTCTATGAGACACTCTAGCAAATTAGTCGAACTTAAGGAGGTGGTCATGGGAGCCCCAATTCATAGCCTGTTGGCCAGAAGCACAGGTAAAATAACCTGGGGCTTGTGACTGACGTTGGAAGTGGGGCACGGTCTTGGGGACTGAGCCCTGAACCTGTGGGATCTGATGCCATCTCCAGGTAGATGGTGTTGGAATTGAATTGGAGGGCACCAGCTGATATCTGCTGCAGAATTGATTGCTTGCTTGGGGGAAAACCCCACAGGCATTGGGTATGAGGGCAGAGGAAACACTGTGTTTTCCACTCATACTGACACTTTATTTTCCTTTCCTATTGGAAAGTCTTGGGGGGTGGGAGGACTGGGTATATGTGTTTTTAATAATAGGACATATTTTAAAAATTCACCATCTTTGGCATTGGTTTAGCATAGCTTAGCTATCTTGTTATTATTGAAGATTGAGGGATGGGATTGGGATAGGTGGGATGGCTTCAGATACTGACTCCTCTACTTTTAGCTGGGTGACCTTGGACAGGTCACTTCCCATTCCTGTGCCTCAGTTTCCTCCATGGTAAAATGGTGTTGGTATGGTAATCATAGTAACTTCTTCACATAGACTTTGTGAGGACTAGTTTATTTAAAAGCCTAGTTGCTTTTTCCACTGTAATATTACTATCCTGTATTATTTAATAGTTTTATAATACTGTCATAACAAATAAACAACACTTGGTAGCCTAAAACAAAAGCGATTTATTCTCTTACAGTTCTGGAGCCCAGGAGTCCAAAATCAAGGTGTTGGCAGGGCCACACTTCCTCAAAAACATCGAGGGAAAGTCTGTCCTTGCCTCATCTACCTCTGGTGGTTCCAGGTGCTCCTCTTGACTCGTGGCAGCATAACTCCAGTCTCTGCCTTGCCCTCCCGTGGCCTTCCCTCTGTGTCTGTTGTCTGTGTCTTCTCCCTTTCACATCTCTTATAAAGACCCTCGTCATTATAAAGACACTCATCATTGTATTTAGGCTCTGGCCTGATCTAGGATGTCATCATCTTCAGGTCTCTCACTTAATCACCTTTGTAAAGATGTTTTTCTCACATAAGGTCCATTCACAGATTCCATGGATTAGGTTGTGGACATATCTTTTGGGGGCCACAGCTCAAGCTGCATCCTTAGGATTACTCTTCACTGTTCCTCTCTGGAGCTCAGAGCCCTTTTGCTGGCCCCTGTTCCAAGTGTCCTCTGCAGTCCCTCACATCCTGGGCCCATTCTTCCACTCTCTCTTTTCCAATAGGTCCACTCAGTATCTCACTTGTGCAAACACGTATTCATTCATTCATTCTTTCAATATTTGAATGCCTGCCAGATACAAAGTGTATTAATCACTTATTTTTACTCTGTATTTTTGATGCTTTGCTATCTCAGGGACTTGCTGACCCTGGAGAGACTGCCTCTCCCACGCTAACCCCTGGAAATGGCAAGCACCTTGCTTATAAATGTGCCTTTCAAATGCACACCAACCAATCCAGAGCCCATACCCCCAACCACCTTCTCTATAAGGATCTCACCCAGGGCCAGGTGCCAGACAACTAGGGATGGCCTCTATGGCCCTGAATTTGCTGAAGTTATTTAAACTAGTCAATGCCAAGCCCTCTTAAACTGGCTGGCTTGCTCCTTCCCATGAAAACCGCAATAAAGGCTCTTGGCCATGTTTTCCTCTCACTACTTCTGCCTCCCAACTGACCCTAGGACTTCCCCAAGTCCCCTCTACCCCCCTGCATGACTTGGTGGGCCCCTTCCTCTTGGGAATTGTGAGTATAACAATCTTTTCAATGGCAATTGTCTCCTGATGTGTTAGCCTCACCATATCTGAATACTAATAAAACCTATATTTTAAACCACAAATCCTTGCCTGGGATAACGGAACTGCATAAGGTGTAGGCTGTGCTCTCACCCAAGCCAGTCCCGAGTAAAGCCCAATAGCTTATCGTGGGTGAGTGGGTACTCTTCTCCCTGTTATCCCCAGAATCAGAAGAAGAGATCTTGGAGACATTGGAGGACTTTGTAAATCCAAACCCATGGCCAGAGCAGATGGGGCCCCCTGTTCTGGTGGGGGTTATCCGTGTTCTTCTTCAGCATCTCTGGGGCAGGAGCTCACAGCTTCTGGGGCCTTCGCTTTGTCTTCAGACAGAAAAAAACAGTGGGACTGTTCCCAGGAACCAAATTGACCTCTAGTGATCAATTTTCTTATTTCTATTTATTCAAAAATGTATTGTTTAATACTTCATTCTAGAAATTGTATTTTAACAGGGTACCCCTGGGCTCTTAAGTACATCAAAACAATGTTTCTTGACTTTAGGGAATGTAGGCACATCTCTTGGAAGAGATGTTTTGAGGTATAGGCCTTGGCCACTCCTTGCCCCAAATATCACACCCAGAGAACCTCTCTCATTCCAAAACTAAGACTGGCCTTGAACGAGCCTTAACATGAATTTTCAGAGGCACCTTGTTTGGGGGCAGTTTCTACCTCCTCTGAATCTCCCTATAGACTGAGGATCCCTTCTGAAAGCAGCTCAAAGACAATGTATAGAATTATATTCATACCAATGCAGTTAATACACAACTTTTCAGGAGCTGTGTGGCACAGGGAACAAGAGTGGACCTTTTGCTCCCTCCCATTCCTGCTGTGCAACTCATCTGTATGTGACCTAAGGCTCTGGAGTCGGAATGCCTGGGTTTAATCCTGGCTGACATGCTTTAAGCCAACCCCTTTGGAGAGTTGGGAAAATTCCACTTGTGGACAATTTTATTTGTACTCAATTCTCCGATTCCTTTGCTAACCCTTGGTATTTCAGTTTAATATTAAGCCCATCAACTTGCCTCAAGAGATTAAGTCACAATCAATAGGAACTGAAGGAAAAGATGGCAGGAGTTATTTTATTTAGATAGTTCATCTCTGTCTTCTTGATGTTGGTGAAATGGAACTTAGGAAATTGTTCTAATAAAGCAAAGCTCAGGGGAGGAAGATTTCAGCACATGGCAGCAACGCAGATGCTGGGGCACCGGGCAGCCAGCTGGTAGACCATGTGGCTGCAGTCTCAGAAGGGGAGGTGACTGAGGGAAGCACTCCCATTTGTAACCAGGACCTTAAGCAGGTGAAGAAGAGTGAAAAGTGTTTGTGGGAAGGAGAGCTACAGGACAGTAGTTTTACCTTTGATTGGCACTTAAATGATGGACAGGATTGTAAAGTGTGCCTTTTTATCAGGGGATAGGGTCCCCTCTTGTAACTGAACCCAGGTCTGGCCACTCGCCACTCAAAAGGCAAACTCAGGAGTCAAGAGTTGGTGAGAGGAAAAGCAGGTTTATTCGGGAGCTGACAACCTAAAGAGATGGTAGGCTAGTATCACAAAGACCATCTCAAGTTTCTCAAGCTGGCCAGAGGGCTTTTCTGGGAGGGAGGATATAGAGAAGCTCTGTGCATGGGTTGACTATGTGTGGGTCAGTATATCTAGTCTTGATGACCATCTTGAGCGATGAACCATCTGCTGGTCTGGGTGGCACCAGCTTGATTGCAACAGCAATACATGTTAACTGCTTGGCATTCTTCCCAAGGTGCGATAGTCTACAACCTTAATTCTGTGCTTAGTTTTTCAAGGCCAGTTTTTAGAGTTCTTTAAGCAGAGCATATTCATAGCTTTGCTATTCATAAAATGAAGTGGGGAAAAAAAAAAGAAAAACAAAGAAGAATCATTGTTTCTCAAGATGGGGTGGTAGCTTCTGTTACACTCTCACTCCACTAGAAAAGAGACATTTTGGTAATGAGATTTGTATTATCCAGAACAAAAGATCCAAAAATATTGTGGGTTAACAAGCAAATAAGTGTTTCTCTCTAGCTTACAGTCTGTATGTAGATGACCCAGATCGGTGGAGCAGCTCTATTCTTTAAGCCATTCAG